TTTACCCACCATGAGGCATACAACCAAGAACTCCAGTTATTACAGTGACCAATATACGTAAACTCTCGCTTCATTTACCCACCATGAGGCATACAACCAAGAACTCCAGTTATTACAGTGTCCAGTATACGTAAACTCTTGCTTCACTTACCTACCACGAGGCATACAACCAAGAACTCCAGTTATTACAGTGACCAATATACGTATACTCTTGCTTCATTTACCCACCATGAGGCATACAACCAAGAACTCCAGTTATTACAGTGTCCATTATACGTAAACTCTTGCTTCACTTACCCACCATGAGGCATACAACCAAAAACTCCAGTTATTACAGTGTCCAATATACGTAAACCCTTGCTTCACTTACCCACCATGAGGCATACAACCAAGAATTCCAGTTATTACAATGTCCAGTATACGTAAACTCGTGCTTCACTTACCCACCATGAGGCATACAACCAAGAACTCCAGTTATTGCAGTGTCCAATATATGTAGAAAAACATAAAATGTAGTCATTTCTTCTAAAAGATTTAATCTGCTGACCTACGCTCAGACCAAAGAATTGTTAACTGAATGTAGTTGCAGCCAGAAATCATTAAGGATATTATTAGAAACAATTCTCTACAGACCTGATGGCCCATGGTTGGGGTCCCATAGATGAAAAATTGTTCTTTACAACTTGGAGCTGTGTGTATGCCCATGCTATAAGAGTGACAATTACATCCACCTATTTCAATTCAAGTGTCTCGGAATTGGAAATTGGTACTCCTTACTAGCTGCTTTCCCCCTATCTGTTCAAAGTTAGTAATGACTAGCACAGATAACCTTTGTATAGATTTGCTCAAAAGTATAACTGAAACAAATTCCATACAGACCTTGTCAGTATTAAAACATTTAACATCTAAGACTATCACACTAGACTCAAAGAAATCCATAGATATTTATGCTTTGTATCCTATTATTAATGCATTGTACGTACATTGTGCTGCTTTCAAAGTTAACTAAAACTAACACGTTTATCGATAACTAAAGAACGTCATTATTACCTCCACCCCCTACGTGTGAGTGTGCTTGTCAGCAAGAATTCTCCAAAACAGCGGGATGGATGTGGACGAAAGTTGGTGCACATATGGACTATGACCCAACTTAGAAGTCATTAGTTGTTGGAGGACCAGGGTCACAGCAAGTTCACGAAAAAAAATCCATAGCTGTTAACATGGGGACTGGTTTTTCTCACTATTTTTGCTCTATATTTAAGTCAAAAATGATTGGATTATGATGAACATATGTAGAATATTATTCCTCATTGTCCTGCCAAAAATGGTCCGTGTCCGCTAATAACGACGGACATACAGACGCATTTTTTTTTGACAACCGAATATGGTCAACCCTGTTTCAAACGTATTATTGTCTTGCTCGAAACCAAACTGTCAGTTCAATCGTTGTAAAAAAGTACAACGCCAATGATACATTGTGTGGTGATGTCACAAGTATCAAGATATTTCAGGAGTGATTGTCCATACCTTAATACTTCAGAACGTAATTACTGTGTGTATTGTAGAAGTTGCTTGTTATTGTGTGTAGCCAAGAGCCCCTCTTATTGATTGCGAGTCGAGCACTCTAACCACCTGGCCTTGCCAGTCCCTGGTAGCTTGCCTCACATGTAAACTTTCTAAAACCAAGATGATTTGTTTCCTTTTAACTAGGAATGAAAGTACAACTCGCGTAACCTGTAACGACTTAAAAATAGCCATAATGGCCCTCAGTTGATATGAACAGTAAAGTTAGAAGGAATAAAAGCTGTGATTTCTCTTAGCAAACTGTGACCTGCCTTGTGTATAAAAATAATAACTTTTTTAAGAAAAAAGATTTTTCAGATTAATTCATATTCGACTAGAAAGTTAAATAAGTCAGGTGTT